GATATTTAATGTTGGTCGTGAATTATTACGAGAAATATTATTCGAACTGCACGTTAGGAATTATCTAGCGTAACTTCATAAGCAATATGAGCTTTGAACAGTTAACGATGGCTTGTAGGATGTTACTATATTTTTTACACATTTCTTCACTTGAAAGTTGATTCTACAATTTCTCACGGTTCATGTAAGGAAATAACTATACCATAAATGTCTGTTACTTGAAAAACAAAAATCGACTTTCGAGGAGTCTTGTCACCGTCGTTCAAGATAAGATAAAAAATAAGCATTCCAAGTAGAGTCCTCATTTGTACAAAAAAAAAAAGAATGCGCCGAAATTACTCGACTTTGACAATAATAATAATATAAGCTCATATACTAGCTTTCGTCATCGGGCGAGAGTCATTTTAAAAATGTAGATTAGTGCATATAGTATACAATAGTGACACGTGTTTAATTTTAACTAATTTTACGCTCAATCTAGTAATTAATAATGACCGAAATTAAATTAATTTTTCGCAGTAACCCGCTTCTTGAAACTTTGTCATAAGTGATGTGAACGGACGCCACTGCCTCTACATGCTCAATAACTTTATTTTTTAATGCAAGATTATAAAGCTCGGTTGCAGACGAGCTTCCATGCATGAATAAATGCTTCCCGGGATCAATTATTTTGGTGACCGGAATGCATGCATCGAGGCATTGATGGAAGTTCAGCGAACTGCTCGATAAACTGACCATTGTTGTCTCTATTCATTCGTGTATCCACGTGAATGTAGTGAATGACATTAGGCAGGTTATGGATGGTTGATATTGTAGGTAATAGGAGATATATCAATACGGGTGATTCATAGCCCTAGATTCAATAATATTCTCCCAACTTCACAATATGAAACGCTGTCTGCGTCGAATAATTTCAAATATTTGCTTATGAAACAAATCGATTTAGTGCTATAACCATTTTCATGTCTTTTGCTCAGTTTTAAAAATATGTCGTGTTTGATTGATTTGATGGGGGTAAGATATCAAGGCTTATATCCTGTCCCAGTAGTGTATATTTGCCTATTTTTCGTTTATAACTGGTTACTAGCTTTGACTTTTTATGTATTTTTCGTTAGCCTAAATTTGTTCTAGTGAACGGCATCTGAGACTATCTGAGGGACTACAGTCAGGACACTACATTGTAGGCAAATAAAATATCTAAAATAAATTATACTTTTGCATAACATCTTTGTGCTAACTTATTGGGAGCAGTTGGCAGGACTTGTTACTTGCTTATCTGTAGAAATTGATGTTAGAATTGTCAAAGGCATAAACCTAACATTTACTGAAATAATTTCCAATTATTTTCATCATTAGTGTGGGTTGAATTTGAATAATAAGCAAGGAAAGAGCATTAAATCAGTTTTATCTGATATATCAATTGACCGAAGACGCCGAATGTCTCGTGCGACAGTAGCTTGCGTTATATCACATCGGCTTAGCTTGACGAACGAAGTAGCGAATATGCCATGCAAGACTAGTAATTGTGAGAACAATAGATTGCTGTCGTATTTATTTCCCCAGAATTGCTGTTCTTGGTTCAATTGAGTTTTACCATAGGACAATTCATGCCAGGTAGATAATAGCTGAGTTACCCTTGTCTGGATCGACGACAACTCTTGTTACCAGGGCCTATAAGGTACGAATAGCATGTGATAGCGGTAAATTAAACGTACTAATAAATTAAGGGTAACTAAACACAAGATTTTCCTCCGCGGATCTGGAAAAAATAATATCTCTAAAATGAACTAAAATTAATGGGAAGTTTATTCCTTTCAATTAAAACTGGTTCATAGGAAGTCACTCGAAATTTCGCAGTATTATTAGTGTTGCAAATCTGACTTTGGAACAGTTATGATGACATGACATTACAGCGTCAATAGTTCTACTTCATCATTCATTGAACCTCAGCATTAATATATTTCACTCTTTGAGTATTTGTTATGGATATCTTTGTCATTGATATACTCCTTTTAAACACCTCGTCATTAAAAGCGTTCGCATTGAACCTTTTCACAAATTTCATTTTGCTCTCAATGCACGTTTCCTAGAATCACCCAACGCAGTTCTTTCATACTTTCGTTTGGAACCAAACTAACTATTTAATTTTTTGCCAATGCCAACTACAGCTGTCAACGACACTAAAGTTCAAGGATTCGTTCAGTTCCTCAAATAAGGAATGAAAATGACATCTTGAAGTGGGTTTTGCACGATAGCCTGCAGCAAAGATTCAAGATCCAAATCTAACTAAACTGTCGTCTCATGATCAAAACTGCGAGTTCCAACGTAAATAGGCCATTGAAAGTTCATTCAATTTATTAGGGTGTATTATAGTTTGTTTGATTAGTTATTCAAAGTATGCAGCAATGGGAAATTTCAATGCAGATATAGTGAAGCTAATTTTAGCTCTATGAGGTGTCGTATTTTACGGTAGTTCGTATAAACTATTATTCGATTTTCATTTAGCATTTAGCTGCTTAAGGACATGATTTTCGTCTCATATAACGGTGCAAGACATCAGGTCCTGTCTGTTCAGAAACTCCTGAATATAAGACTTGTTTTATGCAGTAAACTAGATTTGGCTAATTTTGATGGGTGTCTATCTCAGTTGGAATTCTCCCACGTTAATTAATGCTTTTCAGTAACCGAGACTAGGTAGATCATGTAAAACGCACCAGTAAATCGTATCCTTGTGAATCTGGAAGTAATGAAATTGGTTGCAGCAGACATTTTTGCACACTTATTCGTGGTTCCTGACTTTTATTAACATCTTTCCTATTCACATAGACGGTATGAGCAAATATCCAACTTATAATCGTGTATAGAGTTTCATCGTTTTATTATTGCTGGCATGCCTCAGTAGATCATGTACTTTAGTTAAGATTTCTTCCTTAATCATCTGCATTTACTTGAAGAGGAAACCCCGTACACGCGATTGAGCGCCACTGAGAAATTTGATCGTGGCCCCAGCTCTGCAATGTAATAACTACTAGGTTTGAGCACTGCGGAGCAATTTTATTGCCGAGCAAAGCCAAATTGCTGTCTCCAAAAAGTATAGGTTAACACATTCTTTGCCGGCGATTGAAGCGAATGTGACTTCACTCCTCGGTTGGGTTGAAGTTCATGAATTTTTTTTAGCAATACATATACCTACCGCATGCCAGTTTTTGGTTCAGATTGAAGCTTAGTATAGTAATTAAATTTTCAAAACATATCATTCAAGTGCATTGAAACTAACTAGATAATATCTTCAGTCGATTAAATAAATACTTGTCATTTGTTACAGCTGCACGGTGTAAGAGATCAAGTGAGAAGGTTCATGGGTCGAAGTAAATTTTGAGGTTTAGATTTAGCCACCAATTAATAAAATGTTCGAATTACTGAATAAAAACAAGTCTTCGTTTTGGACAGCCTTAACGATCACCAGAAGCTATTATTATATGTGTTCATTATTATTTTTAGTGCACCTCTAAATTCATCTCAACATTTTGAATACGTAAATTTTCAACTCGAGTCAAATCATCTACTAGGTCGACGATTTACTGATAAATTTACTTGAAGTGTAATAGGTCTCCATACTTCTATATATATTATGTACTTCATAGAAGAAAAACATTTATTGCCAAACGCAGCAGCCAGATTCGATAATCCTCTATAATTTAATAGATATTAGACATGCCATTTGACACATCTGTTCATATCTGGTATTTTCCCTCATAAATTCTTCTCCTAGGTTAATTTTTGAGAGGCTGTAAGGAATATCATTACGGAATATACGAGCCATTTACGTAATGATGTATATTACGAGCCATTTGTCCTTTACTGTACTAAAGATAAATAGGCACTCGAATGCACTTCAAGTGGTGGCCATAAACTCCTTGGCTGTGCCACCGCCGTCTTCTAGATTATTAAGCTTATTCATTCAATATACAAGTTATTGAAAGTCATATGCAATTCTCTGCCACTTTCACATATAATTTTGTGATACTTGACACTTGACGCACAATTTTCATCAGTGACGCACTTTGGCCTCATAAAAGGCGTTGAGGGCTGCGTATATTCAAAGAACTTTACGACTGACGATGCAGGCATGTTATTATATGTCTGAAAAGCTATGAAAATTTTTGATGCGCCGCGGTTTTTATTGTCTGAATCAAATCTTGAAAAAATCAACCCTCCGTAGGGATTGTGAACTGCAAATTTTGAAGCAGAACATAACCAATGATATTTTTTATGTAGGATTCAAGCTATCGATTAATCCGAAGTTGACTCGTTATACTTAAAATTATTAAAGAATTTGCTGATCCATCCTGAGGTGTCTTTTGAACTGATATTTCTGCTCATAAAACACCTTTCGCTAAACTTCCAAGTCTTCATGTTTATGAAAACAAATTTACAAAATTTACTGCCCATTCATTCAACGAGAGTTCTAACGGTCAAATGCTTGTAAGTTGCTGACGCCTTCGCTTGATCACTTTACCGTTACTTTTACGTGCTCTTACAGAATCTCTTGTTGAGATCTCTTCTTTCACTTGGTTTTATTGCATTATAAATAATGAGGTCTAATAAGAGCGATCATTTTACTTTATAACAATATTTGAGAAGGACACAGGGTGCTACACTGCTGAATCTCATTTTGTACTGAACTTTGCTTCATTTTTTTTCAAGGGGCTTCGTGAATGTGTTATGAAGGAATTTGTTATTGGTCTCATTACTTTATCGATCCTTTGATTTCATTTTCTCGGTTCTGGTTTAGCAGGATTTGTTTAACCTTTAATATTTGTATTCGACTTTGAATTGTTTATATGTAGCCGAAACAAAGTATCAGGCGCCATGGGAAATTTCCTGTTAGGAACACTGTGAATTTAATTATGTTAATTTTTAACTAATTACCTTGATTTAAACTGCATTTTTATAATTAACATTGCACTTTAATTTTGCTTCCAGGTGCGTGAACGCATAACTTTTAAAAGCTTTATCTTTCTGGCAGCATTTTTTTTTCATTGCCGAGACTTAATCTATTTAAAAATACAACGTTATTTACTGCAAGCCTAACTATACGAGGCCAGAAAAATTTTTATTTTATTTGAGGACACAATACAATACATGAACTGTGCAGCAATTGAACTTAATAGGAGAGATTTGAAAATATTTATTTGTTTTTAATTTGAGTTGCTCATTTTTTAGTACTTAAAAACGGAACTGCTTAGATCCGTTCCCTTTTCGTGGTCACATTAATCGAATCATTCAACTGATCACATTCGCCGTATCATTCAACTGATCACATTCACTGGATCATTCAACTGATCAACATGACGACTTTTGGCGTGATGGAAAAGTTCAGCGCGGTGGCGGCGATCAAGAACGAAGCTATTCGCGAGTTCCTCGCTGAATTGATCGGAACATTCGTGCTCGTGGTGAGTATATATTTTTAATTTTTCATAGTTTTGATTGAGATATATTCTATTTTTCTTGTATAATTGATTATTATCGTAATTTAAATTTTGCTGCCCTCTCTGTATTCACCAATTACGTAACGTTTTTTTTTTATTCCTACGATTTACTGCTCTGATCTGAATTAACTTTTTATAACTTAATTCAGCTCATACGTTTGAGCTGCATTAACTTTTTGGGTATGACATCCCCGAGATTTATAATTATCCTATGATTTTATTACCCCATTCTTTATTACCCATAAGTATTTCCTTAATATGCAGATATTCTATTTTTCTTGTATAATTGATTATTATCGTAATTTAAATTTTGCTGCCCTATTCATCAATTACGCAACGTTTTTTTATTCCTACGATTTACTGTTCTGAGCTGAATTAAATTTTTATAACTTAATTCAGCTCACAAGGCTGAGCTGCATTAACTTTTTGTACCTTAATTCAGCTCATGCGCCTGAGCTGAGTTAACTTTTTGGGCATGACACTTTCGAGATTTAGAATTAGTCTATGATTTTATTACCCCCCATTCTTTATTACCCATAAGTATTCCTTAGTACACAGGCTGCCCAAGCGAAATGATTGTCATTCTTGCCAAGACGAAGCTACGTGAAATAAGTATAACTCTGTCGTGGACTGAATTTTACTTTCTGTTATAAAATATCTGGATGATCACAGTTTATTATGTGCTATCTGGGAAATTTTCGGGTACTGTGTAATAACTTGAATTCAAATTGTCTAAGCTAAATGTGGTGCTCTCCCTTATACTCAATGCAATAAATACTCTGCAATGATTCATCGCGGATGAATGTACAGTGTAAAATTGTTCCAATTATTTTAAACAATGACACGAGCGTAGGAGCAGGCGTGCGAGTGTGGATCATTCAACGGAAATGTACAACAAAAATCATGCATGAGATTGTAGATTAGTAATATTGCAAATTTATAGTGAAACGGCGGCCTTCTTCGTTCAGTCAGGCGATTTTTGAAATCAAAGACTACGAGACCATTCCTGTAAATAAATGAAGAGATGACAGCATAAAAAGCGATAACATACATGGCTGCATGTGCGAAAATTGCACGAATAGAGAATTTATGAGATAAACACGATTTAATATGTTTCCATTGTCATCAATGCTAAGTTGGAGACATTAAAGTTTTTGTAAATTTTTCCACTGTATTTACCTGACTATAGACGGTCTGACTATGCAGAGTTGTCTTCTCAGCAGAGGCTGTGAAGCGTGCAGAACAATGCCGGTCAGTTCCTATTTATACAAGAAGCGTGGCATCTAATGGCTGCCATGACAAAATATTCTTGTCACGCTCTTTGAAATTTTCGAACAATTTGTCGTCTCCGTCGTTAAAATTTGGTGATAGTTACAGTGAATATTCGATTCGAAATTATTAAGTAGCGGCGAAGATGTTATAGTGAATTCAATATTCAACGAACGTTAACAATAATTAAAGGTTAATCGGCATTAGCCACGAATCTGATGTATGTGATGCATTGAATATTTAACGTGTTTTCTTGTACGATCCACAGAAAATGTCTTGGATATGAATTATCGTATAAATGCCTTGATTATGTTTGAAATGTAGATGAGTAATTCGGTTTTAGGGGTTATTGAGAGTATGGGGGTTGTTGAGAGTATGGGGATTATTGGTAGCATGGGGGTTATTGTTAGTATGGGGGTTATTGGGAGTATGGCTTTTATGAATTTTATGAGGTGTTTATGAATCGATAATCGCATGGAGAAACGCGCGTTCCCCGTTATGCCTGGTCCGCTTCTCACAGTTTTTATATGCAGCAAAAAACTTGCTCCGCGGCTACTGAAGGGGTCGATTTCTACGCGCTTGACATCGCGAGCTCCTGAAATGGAAATAATTATTCGGGGGTCGGATTCATCTTCTTGAGGGTCTTGCTGGTGAGAGCTGAACATCCTGGGTCAAAGCCTCTGTAATTTACTGCTGTCACTGCTTGAGCCTTTAGTGCTGTAATTGCTTGAGCCTTTACTGCTGTCATTGCTTGAGCCTTTAGTGCTGTCATTGCTTGAGCCTATAGTGCTGTCACTGCTTGAGCCTTTAGCGCTGTCATTGCTTGAGCCTTTAGCGCTGTCATTGCCTGAGCCTTTAGTGCTGTCACTGCTTGAGCCTCTTGAGCCTGAAACTTTGTTATTGATAAACTTGTGTAAAGTTTTTGAATACCGGAGGTTGTCTATTTAATTAAGACCGTTCCCTCGCTAACTTCCGTGGCTTATTTAGTGACAGCAAATCCGAGTTGCTGCTGATGTGATGGTGAATATATCGCTGTTGTTATTGTAATTCCTATTTGTTGCGAGTTAGTTTTCATTCGTTAATTTTTGGACTCCAATACGAGGTTTGGTAACATGCCTCTTGAAATCAATTCGGGTGCCATTCGTTTTCAAACTAATGTTTCAAAATAAATTCTAAATCTTTTATCTAATTGCCAAAGTCGTCACAGGCTTTGCATCAGAGTCTAAAGCGCAACTGATTAATTATCGGGCGCTAATCGATCGCTCAAATTAACATAAATAACGAAGATCTGTAGTTGTGTAGGCTAAATGCAATGATTACAAGCTTCAATGGAGTTCATGTATACAAATTTTGTATGATTATTCAGCCGCTGTTACTACAAACTTGTGAATTTCTCTGGTCTAGAAAGTACACGCATCTATGCGAACACAATGTCTCCTAACAATGAAGAAAATTAGCCAAACCGCAAAATTAGGTAACGTGTGATTGCGGAGTCGATAACCGGTTCCGCTTCAATTCGAACAAAATCAGCTGCACATTTATGGCTGCATAACACGTGTTATATTTATCCATCGTTGTATTGTCATATGCAGTGAATCGTCACGCAACTACTTTCAAAAAAATGTTCGCGGTGATATATCGACTGTAATGTTTACCAGGAACGAAAGCGTTGTTGAAGCAACACCGGTTATTGCTACTAGAAGAGAATCTGAATCATCGTATTCGCAACACTTCTCTGAGGAGTTCGAAATATCCTACCTTTTAATTTTAAAGGCGAAAACTTGGGCCAGGTCTGCTTTAAATAAATATTTGCTTGAATATAGAAGCAATATTTTTGTCCAATCAATTATATAGCGAAATCGATGTTATCAGCATATAAATCACATGCCGCTGTTTTTAACCATCTACCCTCTTGGAGACAGAAATCTCTCCTTCTTGCTGCTGTCTAACATGTTATGTTAGAATTTTAGAATGCTACGAGTTTTCTCAATTTCATAACATTTTAGTATATTCGATATGTCACTTGTATGGTTTGGTCGCTTATTTGGAAATATTCTTACAGATTAAAATTGGGTTTGTACAGCGTATTTTGTAAATAGAATATACATAAAATTATCAATTCACTTGGGTAAATGTAAATTCAGCCAACGAATCAAGTATCCTGATATAATTCTTTGGACATATTATTCACTGAAAAGTGATGTAAATGACCGCAAGAACCCTAGCGTCAGCATTTGCTCCGCGACCGCAAAAATGTCTGCACAATGAATATTCGCAAGTCGTGTCTTGTACACGTTAATCATGGGGTTGTGCGGTATTAGAAAGAAAAAATCATCACTTATATTCATTATTGGCTAGTTTTTAAATATATATAAAAGAAATTGTCTATTTTTTATGTTTTTATTATATGTATGTATTGGCAGTATTTTTTATTAAACTATGAATTGAATCAATAGTCACAAGAAAAATGATTGCAATAACGAAAAAATACCTTATAAGTGAAATTACAGCTTTCAAACATCAAGTTTACATTGAAGAAACGGCGAATTTGCTTGCCGTTTTTGTTGCTTTTAAACAATGAAATAAAACTTCATACAACGGGAAATTAAAAAAAAAATCCAAGCATGATGCAATTGTAATGGCATCAAAAGAACAGATCGTGATGCTCCTAAATCACAAAGCTTTCTGTTGCTGCTAACTTCCAGTCTTTGCTTAGAGTCCTGCGGTAAACACAATACAGTTTACTTTGCTTATCCTTTTTTTGTGGTATACACTTCATCTTCTTTTCATTTGTGTTATGCATTGAATTTTCATATGTATATTATTCAGCGTGATTTTCATGCGAAATTTCTTATTCGCAGTTTCTGACTTCATTGCAAATTATTTCTTGCATTGAATTGTTTTGTAAATTTGACTGCTATGTCGAGAAGGTTTAATCAGTGTTAATTTTGAAGTTCGAGGGCTGACACTTGTTAGGAATTGCAGTCGTTAGTTCGCAGGCCACAAATGAATGTTCATAGTCGTTAAAATGCAAATTCTTGAAACATCTCAATTACCAATTAGATAATTTAGCTAATATTGTCATTTGTATGCATGTTCTTAAAACATATAGTGTCGGCCATTAAAAACAACCCATGCCGATTTGAATTGAAAAAAAAAGCACTCGTTAAACTTTTATATTTGTCACTTTGTCCCGTAACTTGCTCTATAGTCATTCAGGATTAGGACCTATATATTACAGTGACTTGAAATAAATAAAAAAAAAAGTGACCGCCAGATATCTCCTTCATGTCAAAATCTATTTAGAGAGTTTTGCAATTTCGTTTGCATTATCGGGCGCTGTTTTAGCAATTTTTGTCATCATTGCTAGAGAAATGAACTTAACCAAATTTTTAAAATTATTTTATGAATTAGTCCTGCTTGAACTTTATGTTTAACATTAATTTTAACTTTGACATTATTTATGATGTCAATTCAATTTATGTTTATTTTTCTATTTTTGCAGAATTTAGCTTCCTAGTTAAAACAACCTCAAAACAAGCCCGACAATTTTCGAGCATTGACAATAATAGAAGCCTCGAAGTTTGGTACAAATTGCAAGGCGCTATAAGTCCATTTCTTCGCAAAAGTTATGAGGAAAAAAAAAACAAAAAATTGAATGGATGAATAACAATTACATATTATATTATCGTATA